CTCATCGTTGCTCAATGGGATAGGCTCTGGCTGCTGAGATGAGGTGCTAGCAGTGGGACGCTCATCGTTGCTCAATGGGACAGGCTCTGGCTGCTGAGATGAGGTGCTAGCAGTGGGACGCTCATCGTTGCTCAATGGGACAGGCTCTGGCTGCTGAGATGAGGTGCTAGCAGTGGAACGCTCATCGTTGCTCAATGGGATAGGCTCTGGCTGCTGAGATGAGGTGCTAGCAGTGGAACGCTCAGCGTTGCTCAATGGGATAGGCTCTGGCTGCTGAGATGAGGTGCTAGCAGTGGGACGCTCATCGTTGCTCAATGGGACAGGCTCTGGCTGCTGAGATGAGGTGCTAGCAGTGGGACGCTCATCGTTGCTCAATGGGATAGGCTCTGGCTGCTGAGATGAGGTGCTAGCAGTGGGACGCTCATCGTTGCTCAATGGGATAGGCTCTGGCTGCTGAGATGAGGTGCTAGCAGTGGGACGCTCATCGTTGCTCAATGGGATAGGCTCTGGCTGCTGAGATGAGGTGCTAGCAGTGGAATGCTCATCGTTGCTCAATGGGATAGGCTCTGGCTGCTGAGATGAGGTGCTAGCAGTGGGACGCTCATCGTTGCTCAATGGGATAGGCTCTGGCTGCTGAGATGAGGTGCTAGCAGTGGAACGCTCATCGTTGCTCAATGGGATAGGCTCTGGCTGCTGAGATGAGGTGCTAGCAGTGGAACGCTCATCGTTGCTCAATGGGATAGGCTCTGGCTGCTGAGATGAGGTGCTAGCAGTGGAACGCTCATCGTTGCTCAATGGGATAGGCTCTGGCTGCTGAGATGAGGTGCTAGCAGTGGGACGTTCATTGTTGCTCAATGGAATTGGCTCCGGCTGCTGAGATGAGGTGCTAGCAGTGGGACCTTCATTGTTTCTCAATGGAATTGACCGGCACTGTCGAGATGAAGAACTGCCAGCAAACTCGTTATCGTTGCACAATTCGTTTTCTGTGACTTCACTAGGTAAGTACAGGTCTTCGGGGAATACATCTGGGTTAAAAGGATATATTCCAGTTTTTTCAAAACCACTCGTAATGTTCCTGATTGATGCTGCATTGTCGTAAGCCCTTCCAAAAATTGGTGCAACTTGGTATATGCCAATGGTTCTTCCAGGGTGGTTCTTCATCCAGGTGGCCATCTCGCGGTCATAATATGCTTGAAGTGGACCGAAAAATGAAACATCTGTGGGCTGCATTCGGTGCGTGCAGTGTGGAGGAAGACAGAGCATTATGACGCCGTTGGCTTTTGCAAATTCCAGTGCCTCCAAATATTTATGACTAGAATGACCATCAAGAATCAACAGCACCTTGTTTGTGACAGAAACATTCACAAAAGCTACAAAATGGTGCATCCACTTCAAAAATAATTCACTGACCATATACCCAGTGGGATAGCACAGCTGCAAAGTGCCTGGAGGAGCACCATCAAAGTACTCAGCTTTGTAATTCTTTCTTGGGATTATTAATGCGGGTGGAACAAAATTTCCGCAATTATTAGCGCAAGCAACAACTGTGAAATGTTCACCACGTTCAGCACTGACTTGCTTCTTTCCTTTGGATGCGAATACTTTTGGGGGCTTTTGAACCGTGTTAAGTCCAGATTCGTCCATGTTGTAAATTCTTTGCGGCGGAATCTGGTTCTCAGTAACTGGTTTTTCCAAATGAGAAAAGAAATTCATCACTTGAGGCTTATTGAATGCCTTTGCTCTTGCAGCTGATGTAGGTTCTGGAGCTCGAAGTGTGATATTAGGGTTGCGTTCTCGAAACCCTTTCAGCCAATCCCAACCAGCAATTTTATTGACCTTGTCAAATCTGTGTTCCAACCCTAAGGATTCCGCAAAATCAAAAGCCAATTTTCGCACTTCAACTGTGTTGAATCCAAACAGTCGGCTTTCAAATTCAAGAATATGATCCACAAGAGCTTTTTCTAATTCCGCATTGAAGGTAGGTTTGAAACGACCAAGATTTTCTGGGGTATTAAAAAAATAGCGACGAAGTGTAGCTTGAGGTACGTTAAAACGTTTCGATGCTAGAAGCCAACCCATACTTTTGTTCCGAACAGCTTCTATAGCCTTATTCATATCATCTTGTGACCAGCTTTTCCGCGTCGATGTTCGTACGTAGTTTCCAGGCATTCTGTAGGCATAAAAAACAAAACGCATGCTGTATAAACGTGTTAGTGTGTTACTAAGCGTGTTATTCATGTATTAAATAATTCTAGTTCATTTCGATGCATAATGGTAAGATGACATGGTATGTCAAGTTAAACCCACGCATTGTGTGTCGTCTTACCCAAGTAACCCGATTCAATTAATTTTGTCCGCCGCCACAAAATCTTTGAGGTTAGAAAGCGGTGTTAGCGTTAATTGTGCCCCTTATCAATGCTACTTCACGTTGCAAATTAGTGCAAATCAAAGATCCTCACCTTAAATGTATTTTCACCACAAAACAAAAGCGAGAGCAAAACTTTTTGCATAAGAAAATTACGAAAAATTGCAATACGTGCCGAACCGTGTTCACAAGCCGCCATTACTGAATTTGAGTTGTGTCGCCATCTAGAGGCACACCCGAAAACGACGTGAGCAGCGCCCTAGCTTGCGTAGTTTATCCAAAATCAATACTGTGTCAACTTTTCAGAGTATGTCAACTTGAGCACAATTTCCCTACAAGACTCATTATCACGAGTGAAAGTTGCAGAATCTCTCATCTGTTCTAGACGTACAGAATGAGAAGAAGGATATTCCATTTCTCGAGCAGTTTGCGCATGCTCACGCATCTGATCTAGACGTGCAGAACGAGAAGAAGGAGATTCCATTTCTCGAACAGTTTGCGCATGCTCACGCATCTGTTCAAGACGTACAGAACGAGCAGAAGGAGATTCCATTTCTCGAACAGTTTGCACATGCTCACGCATCTGTTCAAGACGTACCTACAGAATGATCAGAAGGAGATTTCATTTCTCGAATAGTTTGCGCATGCTCACGCATTTGTTCAAGACGTATAGAACGAGAAGAAGGGGATTCTATTATTCGAGCAGTTTGCGCATGCTCACGCATCTGTTCAAGACGTACAGAACGAGCAAAAGGAGAGTCCAATTTTTTTTCATATTTCGACCTATTTTTCTTGGGGAAAGTTGTTCAGTTTCATGGGCTGGTTCACCCCTTAAAATATTTGAAAAATTAAAACATATAAAGTTTCGTTATCATACACGCAAAGCAATAAAAGTAAAAAAAAAACCGTTCGTATACAAGCATTGATATAAAGCTGCACAACCTCTACTCACTCATTGACATGATTGATCTCAATGAAGGAGACTAGATGGCGTTTTATGATGTATGGGTGACTTTGTTGGTTAGTGGATGTGACCTCAAGAAAAATCAGACATGTGAAAATTTTAAGATGGCCGATTCTTGTCCGATTTTGAAAATTGAAACGTCATTTTCGGAAGATTTATACTTTTTAAATACAATGACGGTAATGAAATTTTGGAAAAACAAGATGGCGACCGTTTTTTACCGTGAAAATTGCGTTGAACCGAATTGATCTCCAAGATGGAGGCAAGCTAGAGGTTTATGATGTAAAGGGCGTTTTAGGGCTTGTCCTGAAGTTATCCAGAAAAATCCAACATTTTGGAAAAACAAGATGGCGGTTGAGTTATTATAAATTTTCTTTAAAAACGAGACCCAACATTTTGAATAGCCGGATGCGAGGAATCTAATTTCTTTTTATTGACGTCACTCTATGGTTCACCCTGTAGGTATACCTATACTCTAATCTTCTAAATAATGAACCTATTAAAATTTAAAAGTAAAGTTTAAGTTTTTGGTAAAAAGCTATGGTAAAATATAGTTTGGTTTTGACCGCCTCGGCGACCACGCCCACGGCGGCCGCCTCGGCGATCTTGTTGCCCACCACCACGACGGGACCCAACTTCTTGAATATTGCCGCGCCCGCGCCTCGGCTTCTTGCCACGACGTGTTTCTTGTTGTTGCTGGCGGTGCTCATGCAGCTGCTGCTCCTGCTGCTGTTGCAGCAACAGGAGCTGTTCTGCCTGCATCTTTTTCTGTAGCTTGTCCAGCATCTCAACTTCACCTGCTGTGGCTGCTGTAGTGGCTGCTGCACCTCCGCTAAGTTTTTTTCTGCCTGCAGCAGCTCAACTTCTAGATCCACCTGCTATGGCTGCTGTAGAGGCTGCTGCACCTCCGCTAAGTTTTTTTCTGCCTGCAGCAGCTCAACTTCTAGATCCACCTGCTGTGGCTGCTGTAGAGGCTGCTGCACCTCCGCTAAGTTTTTTTCTGCCTGCAGCAGCTCAACTTCTAGATCCACCTGCTGTGGCTGCTGTAGAGGCTGCTGCACCTCCGCTAAGTTTTTCTGCCTGCAGCAGCTCAACTTCTAGATCCACCTGCTGTGGCTGCTGTAGAGGCTGCTGCACCTCCGCTAAGTTTTTTTCTGCCTGCAGCAGCTCAACTTCTAGATCCACCTGCTGTGGCTGCTGTAGAGGCTGCTGCACCTCCGCTAAGTTTTTTTCTGCCTGCAGCAGCTCAACTTCTAGATTCACCTGCTGTGGCTGCTGTAGAGGCTGCTGCACCTCCGCTAAGATTTTCTCTGCCTCATCGTTCTAAAAAAATATGAAAATAAATATTAGGTTTCAGCCCTCAGGTTCCATACAGTCAGCCCAAGGTTTGATAATAAGGTCTAATAATAGGTACCTACCTACTTATGAGACAATGCTGTTATAAGTCGTCATCACTGCTGCTGGTGACAGCCGATGTGGCGCAGTAGTTATAGTCCGACAGGTTCGTGCGCGACCTTCCCTAGGGGTGACAGACGTTGAGGGGGGAGATGTCAGCGGGTAGCGGGAGGTGTAGCGGGGAAGGGAGAAGCGCGCATCTGCGCCGCACGTCATATTAAAATGACGTGCTTCCTTGCCCCCCTACCGTCTGTACCCCGCAGGAGGGTCGCGCACGAACCTGTCGGACTATAGTACGACTGCTTGCGACGCAAGGTTCCGGGTTCAATTCCCGGTAGGGTCACTCACAAAGTTGATATTAAATATCAAGTGATAAATTATATAACTTTGTGAATTTGTTCCCAGTCTGGTTAGAACATTGCCGGCTGAAAACCACCTGATTGTCCAAAAAGCAAGATGGTTCCGTGCTTCGGATGGGCACGTTAAGCCGTTGGTCCCAGTTGCTGTATCTTTTTTATGGTAAGGCCCATAAAGTTCCGTTCTCATACACGCAAATCACTAAAATTTAATAAAAACCCGTTTGGATACAAGCATTCAAATTTTTGTTTGAAAAATTCTTCCTTATATTTCTTTAATTCTTACTAATTTTTCTCATAAAAAATCCCCTAAACATGAAAAAATCCCGAAAATTTCGGGGAAAAACCCCTAAGGTGGCAACACTGGATCCAAGGGTTTAGGGTCAGCCTGTCTGGTCTTATCTCGTCAGATGTAACGATGCCGTTCGGTTCCTGCTGGAAAACCAACAACCCCGAGGGCTCTCTTTATGATGTCATTGATGGAGGTATGCCGCGATATTCTCCCGGCACTCCTCTGACATGATAGGACCTGGTGTCCCAGCTCGTTTACCGATTGCCCACAGTGACAGAAATAAACTGAACTTCACGCACAGGTCGTCCACATTTGTAAAAAAAAAACATGAGAATAAAAGGGTACGGCGTTCATTGTTAAGCAAAAACCCTACAATCAGAAAAATCAAAAAAATCGGCAGATTAAGTCCCAATTCGGCAGATCTACGGTAGATCTGCAGTAGATCTTCGGTAAATCGGTAGGTTTGGGAACACTGTCATCCATACAATGTTTATTTGTGGCATTTATTGTTTTCGAGTTATTACAAAAATACAAAATTTCGGTCGATCAAAATCGTTTGAAATGGCTGCCGTTTTTTTTAAAGTCGGCCTACGAGGCCCCGATTTGGCATTGCTGATAAATAGTCCAAGACGGGGCCAAGTTTAAACACGCGACGGAACTCTCACTTCGACGTTCAAGCTTGGTTCAAGCGTACTCAATCCAGGGTGGGGCAAGAGTAATCAAATCACTAATCACCCTATTTGATTTGGCTACCATTTGACGGCTGCCAATTTGACAGCTACAGTGTTATTACCACAAACATTTCAAGGCTTGTAAAAACAGAAGAAAATATATTTAGTAGTAATTGGAGCTAAATCAAATAAGGCGATTACTTTTTTCCTACCTTGTAGTTGCGGTGTAGGTAGGATGAAAGAGTATTTTGTTAACCAACGAAAAATACGTAGGTAGGCGAATAATATTAAAATATACCTACTTATAACTTTTTGGTAATTTCTCTCAGTGGCTGTGGAAATGTCAAATGAGACGAGGGTGCCAATTGCCGTGGCTGTGATCGCGTTGGTAGTTCTACTAGCGATTCTTGGGGCAGCAGTGGCCTACATTTGCAACAAGTAAGTTTATTTAAGTGAACTAATAAGTGCAAATCGCATAGGCGTGAAGGGCAAAAACATAGGTAAGTACCTTTATTGAAGTATGTAGGTATACACTTACCCAAATAAATACTCTGTATACAACATGTAATACGGTTTAGTTGTTCGTTTAGCAATAATGTAGAACCGGAAATAGATTTCGGAAAGGAAATTGAGTGTCTTCTTATGAGATTCTTTTTGTACGTAGATAAGTAATAGGTATTAGGATCCCACCTATGAAATTACCCCTTTACAAACTCAATGAGTGGCCGGCAAAATGTTCAAAATTCAAATAAATATTATTTTTAAATATGTAATTCTATTTTCACAATTACTCGTTTGTTTCGTGATTACTGTTTTGTTTTGGCTACTTAACATATTTTCATAACGGTGGAAACGAAACGATAAAAAACATGAAGACTTAATGCGCGTTGCGGTGAAGCGCTTTGTCATCAAAAGAATCGAGACACGTCAAACTAAATATAAAATCTATGAAATAAAAAGTTTTATGTAGAAAATCGACATTAGGATTTTGAAACCTCGTAATACTCACTATTGAACTACATAAGACATTTGTTCCACAATAAACATATGTCTAAGATAATGTGATCTATACACAACGTAAACTTGCTAAGTGTCCAAATTTTTCAGATGAGAAGTGTATTTTGACCTGGAGGTCCAAAAAGATTTTTCTTGTTTCGTCCTATGTTCCTTGCTGAAAGTTGTTCCTTGTCAGCAGCCGGTTCTCAGTTTTCGCTATCGGACACTAGTAAAATTTCACCCTATATTTCTTCAATGTGTTTATAATTTCGTGGGTTCATAAAATCAATATCTTCTATTGCAGTAGTTTGTAGGTATTTTCTGTTTATAAAGTAATCGTCTAGAGTCCTTAGAGTTTTGGTGATCTCTGAATAAATGTAATACATATGTATATTTTAGTTAGGATGCTTCCTTTGCATCTCTTTGTTAAGGTTGTTAAAAACGAGTAATACAAAATCCAGAAACTTAAAACAGTTTTGTCACCTGCTCGTTAATATCGTTTCGGCGGCCAATAAGTCGTTAGATTGGGTGGCGTCAATAAAATAGAATATTAAAGAGGAGTACTGTTCGAGAACCCGCTTAACAGCAGCATGTACATAAAGCCATAGTATTTTATACTATGATAAAGCCATAGTGTCTGTGATGTATGCAATATTTTGTGCATTTTCAAATCACAAAATGTCTGTTATTCTTTCAGTTCTTCTGTACGTTTTGGATTGTAAGCCGATTATTTTCGGGTAAAATTAGGTCTGTCCTTTATCAGTCGGCTACAAATGGGTTCGGCCACTCCCTGTTGGATAAAACTAGATCTATCCGATATTATTCCGACTAGAACTAGGTTTAGACGATCCCTTTTGGATAAAACTAGGTCTATCCGATACCATTGATGCAAAAACACTCTCTACGTTTCTTTTTATAGGATGTTTTTTAATATCTAAAAAAGCTCGGCCGATAGCATGCCGGCTACAACTATGTACAGCTAATCCCTATTAGATAAAACTAAGACTCGCGCTGCTGCTGCAGACGCTGTGAGTCATGCCATGAGTGTGACGCGGGGCGGAAGGCCTGGCGGGACACTTATCTAAGTTTTATCCAACAGGGATTGTCTGTACCTAGTTCTAGCCGGAATGATATCGGATAGACCTAGTTTTATCCAACAGGGATTGTCTGACTTAGTTCTAGCCGGAATGATATCGGATAGACCTAGTTTTATCCAACAGGGATTGTCTGGACCTAGTTCTGTAGGGCCCAGAGCTGCAGCCGGCAGGGGTGGTGACTCCGGATGATTGAAAGGCCGGAGTAGGCGATGGGATGTTTTATTGTCGAAAGAAGGCCCTAAAAATATACAATTGTGATGATGAATATATACAGGTGAAACACAAGTAAGAGGGAACAGACTAAGAGGACCGGGGGCGCACTTACCTGAACTCGTATTCAGGGCCTGATTCGGTGTATTCCGGTAGTGGCAGTTATCTAAATCACAGATCCAAATAATAGATAATAATGTAGCTAATGAAAAATGTCGTCTGGGAAAGACAGTGACGTGCCAGAGGATAGTACGGTCAGTTTTGAGCAAAAGTGCTCTAGAAACGGATTTTTATTTGTAATTCCTCTAAATACCTACGATTGGTATCGTTGGATTCCTTGTGATGTCCACAACACGGATCTGTCGGTCGTAGAGTGCAAAAGTGGGTATAGAGGGTGGACAATCGAAAGATGGCGGAAAAGCAATTTGGGTTTTACGCTATAACTCGACATATATTGAACCAATTAAAAATAAATTGCGTTTTAAAGGTAATAAACTGTTGCATTTTTGTCTAAAGACATACTGGGTTATTTTTTAGTCAGTGCGCAAACTTTGCAGGGTATTTCTACTCGTAATTCTGAACAACTTTTACTATGGGACCACCTGCAAATTCTCAAAAAAAAATTTGGATGTTCCATAGAAAATTTCATACCTACTCGGCAAAAATGTATGGAACAACCAAAAATTTTTTTTAGCTTTCGCAGGTGGCCCCATGATAAAAGTTGTTCAGAATCACGAGTAGAAACATCCTGCAAAGTTTGCGCACTGACTAAAAAATAACCCTGTATAATACTTATTCATTATAGTTTATGAGTTATGTTCTTAATTAAAGCCTTGCAGTAAATACTCTAATTTTTAAGTACGGATTGTTCGAAAACTAGTAGTTTTTCGAAAACAATAGTTGAGTAATATAATAAAGAATGGACATTCAGCTATTCAAAAATGTAAGTATAATTGAACTATGTCCTGAAATCACTAAGATATACCTATTCGCGTGAACCGAGTGGTGTAATCGCGTACAGATGCGCTTGCTATTGACGCTGCTGTCAATGTACTTTCTATATTTATTGAATTTTTGTTTGTATGACAGCAACTTGCAAGGAACGTGATTTCTTATGAAGTATTAATCCTACCAAAAAACATTCTGTAAAAATCATGCCAAGTCTAGCTGGAGCTGCTTATTTATCTTTAAAAAGTAATTAAATCTAGACAAAGTCGTGCCAAGTCTAACTATATTGATAAGAATTAATAAGAATTGAACTATAATTATAAAAATAAGTTTAATCATAATCTTGATTGAAAGACTCTTCAGAATTATATTGATTGAAAAATGAAACAGAATCAATATGGCAGACGCCCTTTATACAATTTAGCTGCTTCTTAGCACACTGCACTTCGCTGTTCGGCAACCTGTCGCGCATTGTAATTATATTAATTGTATGTCTCTCATGGACAATGGAGGACGCAAACTAGTCACTGGCACTAATTTGTCGCTTTTTATTTGCCAACCATATGTTTCTGGTGGGGGTAAATTGTGTATAGGCTTGTGTGCCGTCCTCCAAATAAATGTTTGGTAATTAGCCCTACGAAGATGTTGCTCTAATGCTCCTTTGGTGGGAGGTAGTTTGTCCAGATTATTAACACTTTGGAACATAGCTGCTCTAAGATGATCTAGTATATCATCATGTGTTCTTAATTGAGGTTTTTCTCGCAATAAATCGC